CCCATGCTTGAGGTGCAAGCAGAGACAGACCGACTGCAGTCGACACATGGGGACTCGTCAAGATGGTGGCGCATGCTGGACCGATTTCGGCGGAGTGACGACTTACTCCCTCGTCCTGGGTCCCCTGAGTCCTCCAGCTACAACGACCATTCGTTGATGGCACGGTGTACGTTCACCCTGTACAAGTCGAATGCGAATTGCTTCATAAACCCAATACATGCAAGTTTCGAGCATCAGTCCCGACCTTCCGCCAGCCACCTGTGAGAAACACAGCGACCTCCGTGCACCATATCGACCAGTGCGACGCTAGCACAGCTGCAAGGACCTCGATTGCCAAAGTCGCCGAGAGTCCATGCAACCTCGGCAATCCAGATTCGTTCCATGCATTGCCTTGTTTCATTCAACGGTAAAGTTGATCCACCGTGGTAAAGTCGACAAAACATTGTTGTACGTTATCCATATTTTTTTGTTTTTTTCATTCGTGGACTTTTTTCACCCAATTTCTGGTGGTTTGCAAAAACTTTGACAATACATGCATTCCTGTAAACTTGAATTTTGTATGCGTATATCACAACGACGTGTGTCATGATGGTCACGCGCGGTGCACCAATTCGCGGCAGCACGAGTTCCCGACAGCACCCATGCGCATCCGGTGGTATGCTTGCACGTTTACGACAGCGGAATCCAAGGACGTGGCCGAGAGTATGGACGACGGGGACCCGTTGATGGCAGAATGCGCCGACATTCGTATGCCTCTGTGCCATCGTGGGGTGTGCAACGACACATCTCGTGGCATTTCTGTCTTTGTGAAGCGTCTGAATGCTTCAAATCAGCCAACGTCTTCTCGACCGCAAGTGCTGTGGATGCTGCAAGGCGGCCCGGGCCATTCGTCGTTGGCCAGTACAGTCGCGCCCGGGTCATTTGAAACAAATCTTGACGCTGCTTGGTAGTGGAAGCATCCATCTTGAACGCGTACACCGCGTCCAACAGCACTGTTTCCGTGTACACGATGGACCATCGAGGAACTGGACGAAGCACCTTGCTGGAATGTCCGGACGACGACGATGGCGAACCGCAGACGGAGGACGAAATCGTCGAGTGCTTTCGGTACATCAAAGACGAGTTTGGTACGGTCACGACAATTCAACCTTGTTCGAGTTACGTCGATCTGGCTAGGCCATGACGCGCCCATGGCTTTTTCCGTCACTAGTGCGGCAACTGATCTCAAAGTGTTGGTGCAGAGTTCGATGTTTGCCCAAGCCGACGTGTACGTGTACGGGGTGAGCTATGGCACGTACCTCGTCGAGCGGCTCATGCACTTGCAGCCGTCCAACGTCAAAGGCTACATCTTGGACAGCATTCAGAGCGAGCAGTTCTATACGGACAAGAAAGACGCGCCGTACTATTCCAACTGGGATCGCGACGTCGGCCAGGTTGTCGAGGGTTTCTTTGCGCTGTGCGACAACGACGCGTTTTGCAACGCCAAGATCGGTCCAAAGTCGAGGCAAACGCTTCACAAAGCCTACTTGGCTCTCGACGCAGGCGAAACGGAATGCTTTGACATTTTGTACAGAGTCGCCCATGACGGAGGGTATGCCAAGCCGTCCGGACTCGTCGGGCAAACGCTGTACGAATGGCTGGTCGACAGCGACCGCCGCGTATTCATCCCTGCCTACATCTACCGCCTCGCTCGATGCAACCCGGACGATCAAGATTGGCTGACTCAGCTCAACTACCCCCCGCCCCTAGACGACCTCCCCGAGGAAGGACCGTACTTGCGTGGCCCTGGCTTCTCCGACATCGTGTACAACAACATTGTCTTTGCTGAAATTTGGCAATCGTCGCATCCGTCGTCGCCGTCCGCGCAGCGGCTATACCAAGACAGTGTCGACGCGCTCTTGAGCCTTGGCAACGTTGTGTACGCTCGGAATCGAGCGATCTTGTACTGCCTGTACCGGCAAAATGCCGACCCGATGTGTGCCGACTACCCCCGCTACGACGAGAGTTTTACGTACAACCAAGACGATTTTTGGAATCGCACGGCGACCGTGCCACCCGGAGCATCCGTGCTCATGTTTGCCGGAGGGCTCGACCCTGCCACCCCACTCAAGTATGCGCGTGATGAGTACACGACCATGGTCGGAGACGCCAAGCTCCTGCTCGAGTTCCCCGCTGCCAACCATGGCGTGCTCGTCAATTCGCCAGACAGAGATGACAGTCACGTTTCGTGCGGGGCCGTGGTCCTGTCGTCGTATATGGCACACGGTGGCGATGTCAGTCAAGTCGACCTGTCGTGCATGGCGCGCGTCGAACCGCTTCGGTTCTCGCATTGGGACCGCGACTTGGCGTTCGACTTGTTCGGGTCCGAGAATCCGTACAATGAAAGCGCTGTCCAAGTCAAGGTGCTCGCGACGATTCAAGCCAAGTTTATGATGGCTGTCGGCGTCCTGTGCGGACTCTTGGTCGTTGCCGTCGTCGGTCTTTTGCTTCTCGTGCGGCAAAACCTGACTTTGCGCCGGCGAGTCGCCGCCCTGACGACGCCATCGAAACTCGACGCCATCCATGAAACCAACACGGAAACCCATCCACTGACGGCAGCCGATAGTCCGTCCGACGCCACGGACGTGCTCGAGACAACACACCAACTCCCACCACCACCACCACCTCGACGTGACATCGTCGATAACGTGTAATGGCCTTTTACGTTGGATGGGGTGGCGTCATCATCGCTCTGGATTCGAAACGAGGTTGCTTGCGGCTCGTTTGGGTTTCGGTGTTTAGAATTCGGCGGGCGAAGTCGGTGGACCTGGCATACGCGAAAACACACTGCATGCACCGCGGTCGGCTTCGACTTGCAGAGTCCATGTCAGATGCAGCCCATCAGGGCTGCAGGGGCGGCGCCAATGCGATTATTTAGCTCGAGCTAGGATGTGTCGTTTACGCGAGACCGTGTACAGCTCGTGACTGCCAGGACCGCCACGACCTGCCGCAGGTTTTCCTAACGTCAGCTTCGCGCAAACCCAACGTTGGCAGCGGACTCGAAGCGCCAAGTTGCTTTGGGAGCGACGGTCGCTGCGTGGATTTGCTGGCCGTGGATGCATTTGCGACCAACCTGCAATTCAAGGACTTTCTCGCGATAGCCTAGCGCATATTTTGTGTCCCCTCCTGTCGACGGCAACGGGCGGGCTCTTTTTTTTTCGCCAAGGCCCTCGGACGCTTTGCATGCCGCTCGGGGGCATCGTTGACGACTTGAAAACTCACGTGTGCGATGCCAGCGCGGCCGACGTGCAAACGTAGCATGCGACAACCAACTCGATCGACTTTGGACAGCCACATTGTAATGCCATCCACCCGCTCCCAATAAATTCCGTGGGAGCAAGAAGCGGTATATATTCTCTACGTTGGAGCTTGCGTTGACGAGTCAAGTGCTCACTCTTCAGCAGCGTTCGTTTGGCTATGGCATTCCATATCTCAGCTTGGGACGCCTGGTATCCCAGCGCGTTACGGAGGCCGCGGAGGAGCAGCGACACGCGGTACGCCATGATGTAGTCGTCGTCTTGATGGAGGATCGGGTCCCGTTTCTGTAAGTATTCGACAAAGAGCGGGATGTCCATGCCGTCTGTGATGTTCCAGTCGTCTCGGTCCAGCTTGGTGCGGCACATCTTCTCGAGCACGTACGGGTCCATGTGCTGGGTGACGAGGCCGACTTCATTCGTGACAGCGCGAACGACAGCTTCCTTCGACCCTTCGGCCAGCGCGACGACGAGGCGTGCCAGGCGCTTGCGTTGATCGGCTGTCCAGTGCTTGACCGTAGTCGATGAGCCCAACGCGCCCATCCTCCAGCAGCATGATGTTGCCGGGATGGGGGTCGCCGTTGAAACATCCGTCGACAAGAATGTCGTACCCGTGGACTTCAACAATGCACCGGAGCAGCTCGGGAAGGTTGAGCAGGCCGGACGTGGGGTGTTGGGTGCCTGTCGCTATGGATCGAGGGACGACCCACCTGATTGTGTTGTCGTAGGCTGTGAGAGCCCCCTGCTTGGCGCGCCACAAGGTCTGGTACCATTGCATGGCCGCTTCAGATGGGCCAACGTCGCGTGAAAGATCTCATGCGTTCCTTTCGGCGTCTTTGGCAGCCTGCTTCGCCGCCAATTCCTGTCACGGCCATCGCATATGCGATGATTTGAATGTGGCCGTAGACGGCGTCAACCGACTTATGGCCTGGCAAATTCTTCATCACGAACACGTCTTTGGTGCACAGGTCCAGGTATGCCCTCGGCACGACAAACCTGTGGGCATACGGACTCGCGGACTGTTTTGCCCGCATGTTGTTGAAGTTGCTGGCTTCCCGACGGCAGTCCAACTCGGTGAGGAACTGCTTTTCGGTCTCATTCAGGAACGGCAGGTTCGCCGGCTGCGCAATGGCCGCGAACCTTTTGATCGTAGAGGTATCGTTGTAAAAGTTGGCCTCCGCGTCGTGAAACGGGACCTTGACCACGATTATGACTATCGTGCCATCCAGCAGCACGGCTTTGTGAACTTGCCCGATCGACACGGCCCCGAGGGGTGTCGGATCGATCGATTGGAAGATGTCGTGGAATGGTATGGCCGACGGTAGGATGCTTCCAGGATGCGCATCATGTCGGTGGCGGGCGTGTACGGCGTGCGCTTTGAAGGGTTTTGCAGTAATCCATGTACTGCTTCGGCAGGAAATCGCCGCAGGTCGACGCGATTTGGGCCAGCTTGATGTAGATCCCACGGAGCGCGAGCACCGTGCCGAAGAGTGGCGTTGTATCTTTGTCGTGGAGGTAGTTGTAGTAAGCGTAGCTTCGTCGGGGCCGAGGTGGCCAATGTCCTCGATGTAGATCTGCGCGGCGCGATAATGCGTGTAGGCCGGTACTGCATTGACGTAAAAGAACATGGACCTTGCAAGTCCTTGGTCCGATTCGAAGAGGTAGATGAAGCTCGCACCACCGACCACCGCGAGGCCACCAACCGCTGCCATCGCGGGGTGTAGAATGGAGTTTGATGCGTGCTTCTTCACAACGAGGTGTGTTGACTGCAGTGAGCTTGGTGCAGTCGATGACGTGTGTACACGGCCCACAGCTCGTCCAGCGCGGCACCCCACTCGTCGCAGTTCCGCCATCGTCGTTGTCCGTGGGCACTTGGTGCGTAATTGCAGACATGAATAGCGCACCGAATTTTTGAGCACCTGCGTCTGTCGAAGTGGAGCTGTTTCCATGTGCACAGGGGCACAGCACATGATCCCCCCAGACTACTTGCATGCGCATGCCATGAATCCAACACCTTGCAAATTGCGATAGCTAGCATTCCTCGACGACGGGCCTCGTCCACGTTGCCGCTGAAGGAGGAGGTGAGCTATTTTATGCACCATTCTCGTTGAAATGCACCGACATTTCAAGAAATAGGTGCTTTTCCCGACTCGACTGTCTGTTTCGGCGCATTTGATTGGGTCATTCCAAGGTTGCATCTTGATCCGCGATGGACTCGCTGGCGGCGCTCATGGCAGGCGGCCAAGTCGAACCCGACGGCGAGTACATCCTGACGATCACGATTGGAAATAGTCTGGAAATGAAGATCACGGTGGCGCCAGACGACGGACAAGCTCCCGGGACTCTGTTTGCCTACCACGTGTGGAACGGCGCAACGTGCTTGGCTGAGTACTTCGCCGCCAACCCGACACTTGTTCAAGGAAAGTCGGTGGTCGAGTTCGGTGCGGCCTCGTACGTCAATCGAGTCGAACTTGTACATTGCTAACTCCAACGATGTGGCGTTCGTTTAGAGCATTGCCGTCGTTAGTCGCGCTGCATCATGGTGCTAAGGTGGCCGTCATGACCGGTCCGTTGACGTGGAGGAGTCGATTCAAATCTCACGTGTGACTTCTCCGCCGTAGACTACCCCGCCGACGTCTTGCTGCAAAACATTCGAGCCAATGTTGAACGGAATCAAGCTCTTCTGAACAACGGTTTGCCGGTTGTGGTGGGGCATTTGTGGGGCTCAGACGTCACGGACGTCGTCGTGCATTCGCAACACCACACAGGGGATCCAAGCAATCCGTCGCCTCGATTCGACGTTGCAATCGTGGCAGAGTGTCTTTGGATGCACCGCGAGGTACATTGATGTGTCACCGAGGCCGCTGTCGATCGCCACCCAGCTGACGGTGCGCATTCTTCCTAGCACCACAACCTGGCAAAGTCCATCGATGAGTGCTTGGCCCCCAACGGCACGGCCTTCATTTGCTTTAGCCACCACGTTCCTGGCGTGGAACATTGCGACTTGGCCTTCTTCGACGTTGTCAAGGCTCGATTCCCTTGCTCTGTCGTTCTCGCCAAGACATTCAACGTCCAGGCCGTATTCAATGCTGCCAAGACCAAGCAAGAGTTTTTGTACGTCATCACTAGGCTAGACACCCCCGCCGACCGCACATAACTAAAACAATCGCGTCATTTTGTGC